TGCAGATTTTCAGGTCAAAGTTACATGGTTTTTTGGCTATTTCTCCAATCTCCTTCACTCAATTGCACTCATTCTGATATCGTTTGTAAGATATTTTCAACCTGTTCAAGTACGTGCTCAAATTCGTACTCCAGGGTTAAAAGTGATGACGTCACAAGGCGTAGAAAGGGTGTGGGTCCCCATGGGCGCATACGGGCGCACTGGACGTCAATAGGTTAATAGGGTCCCGATGGAAGTCACTATAGTCATGGAATTTTATGATTTGAATGAATAAATCGTAATTATATCCAGGAGGACTCCCCACTTCACCAAACACTTTTCACTCTTGCTTTTAATTTTGTTACTAATCCACACTGAAATGGCCTTAACTTTTATTACAAGTTTTCTGGTATTCATGGAGAAGGACAAACTCTGATAATGGGTGATTGCATCATTTCTTGCTATAATCACCTTGTGCTAGGTGATTGTAGTGGGGGTACAAAAATTCAAAATGGCTGTCTTGTGTTTTTGAATAGCACAAAAGATGCTATTATTATGTTTGGCATAATGCTTTTCATAACACAGATAAGAAGTTTTTACTGATTGAATTAATTAAACTGGTTAAATCCTAGTAGAGACTGTCTGCTTATTTCAATATAAGTAATCAGAACAATTGTAACAATGATTTCAATAACAAAACAAATGTACAACAGAATTCTAATCTGTCGGAAGGATTATACTAAATAAAGCAATTATAGGCCTAAGGCTCAGCAAATAATGACAGCGTCAAGGAAAAGCAGAAAATGGTAAAAAATGTGTGTTTTTACTTGCAAGGTTCTTAACCATTCACACTACATGAGTATACATGTTTTCTGTACTATTCTCTTTACAATTCCAAGGTGCTGACAAGAAGAATTTGTTTAATATCAAGAGCTCTTCTTAAGTTGGTGATCATTTCCTTTACGCTTGCAACCGTAATGGGTGTTTCAGGAGCTAATTATTATAGGGAGAGCGTCAATGCTAGTCACTCTTAGAAGTCGAATGGTTAAGTGAGGATAGTCGAGAATAATATTAGAATAAGATATATGTATCTCATCAGACGTTTTGTCGTGTAGTATTGCTGAGTATTTTTACAAGTTGTGCTGTATATATTAATCATCTGGCATGAGGTGATTATAGCAAGAAATGACATGATCCTCCATTATCAGAGCCTGTGCATCTCCATAAATACCAGTCAAAATACTACACAACAAAATGTCTAATAAGTTATTTATTATCCAACATGCCAAATTGTTATTTCAGTGTGGGGGATTTTCGCAGATATTCATTTGTGGGGAGTGCGTGACAGAAGTATGCAAAGTGGAATGGAATTGGCACATTGTTGTGTTGCTGTTCCTATATTCTTCAATAAATGATGAAATTTCATTGTCGTCTAACTGCTTTATCTAGTAAACTTGGCTCAACATTCACCAGCCATTCCAACCACTTGTTGTTCAAAAACTGATGGAAATTGTTTGTCATTTTTTTTTTGTAACTTCAATCCAATTAATCACTTGCGCAATGTGAGTAAACCTGTCTAACCGGTTATATGAAGTACAAATGCAGTGTGATATTTGTACTCATCTTGGGTGCTATTTATACTCTACAGAGTGTAGTTGGATAATAATACCTGTTGTTATATTTAGATTACTATTTAAAAAAAAAAAAACTGTTACCATGTCATCTTTGCAGATGCATTCATGAACACATAGATGCAATGGATTGGAAAAATTTCTCTCCCAAGTACAGCAATGGGAGCTCTTCATATCTTTTGTTACTATCAACTGAGGTAGGCATGCCTTTTAAGTGAAGACTCTTAACATGTTGGATATTAGGAAATTCTATGTTTATGTGAAATGTGGCAGAGGGTTAGGTTTAGGATTAGAGAGGCCTGGGTTGGAGAACTGGCTGGGACGGGGTGTTGTGTTAGACTAACAGCTGTCCTTCCTTTCTGGTGAGGTCTGTTGCACGGGGAAAAAAAAAGTCATAGGCTTAGTCCACAGTCCCTGCTTTTTAAGCACCTAACTCATGGAGCCCCTGCGGCACATCAGCAACACTCCAAGAGTTCCCCCCAATGTGCTAACGTCAAATTTTTTCACAGATTGTTTTTTTACTCGCCCTATGGACTTTTCCGAAAAAAGAGGGACTGCTTGTTGTCTAGTGTTGTGTTCTTGGGCAGAATATTTTATTTTTGTCAAGTTTCTCTCCACCCAGGAGAATGCTGGTGGGTTACCTTGTGATGAGCTGGTATCCTATCAAGGGGGGAGAAGTAAATGTAATAGCGGGTAATACCCCTTATTATCCAACTACACTTAGACGAGTACAAATAATGCCATGGACGAGTACAAATATCATGCGGTATTTGTACTCGTCTATTGTAGAGTACCGTTAAACAGGTTTTCTCGCATCGCGCAAGTGAAGAATTGGATTGTAGTTATGAGAAAAAAATAAAGTGGCGGACAATTTGAATCATATTTTCGACAATGAAGAGTCAGAATGGCTGGCAAATATAGGTCAAAGTCTATTAGATGAATCGAACGAAGAAAAACAGCTTGACGACCAGAAAATTTCTTCATTTAATGAAGAAAATAGAAACAGCAACACAACAATGCGCCAATTCCGTTCCGCTTCGCATAATTCTGTCACGCACTCCCCGCAAATAAATATTCGCAAAATTCACCAGTACTGAAATAAAAGTTTGGCGTGTTGGATAATAAACAACTTATTAGATGTTTTGTTGTGTAGTATCGCTGAGTATTTTTACTCATTATTTGTATTTTGACTCACCCTATGGGCTCGTCCTCGTTACGTTCCTCCACTCACCCTATGGGCTCGTCAAAATACGGCACAACTCGTAAAAATACTCAGTGATACTACACAACTAAACGTCAAATAAGACATATATATTCCTTAGGTATGGGGCAGAGCCCCCATACCCATGGACTATGGTCAACCTCTTTTCGTTTGGTTGTCACGTGACTGACCGAGCATACGTATGTACGTGCCTAAGGGAGGGGTGACTCAGGCGAGTCTTGGCAAATGCACATCTTTTATGTTGTCATTAATATTTTGAACTTGGGAGCTCTGCTTTTAGGCTTGGTTAAATCTATATATTATGGTATATACCCATGTATTGTGTGTTATTGTACTCCCCATGGCTTCTTGCTTCATGCTGTAGTTATACTGTTCCAGGGATTTTTCACATGAGGGTGACCATCCTTTTTAAGTGCTAGTTGTCAAGTTATCTGACTAGAACTCTAAGAATCCACTTATAATTATTTTTGTTTTTTTGTTGTACAAATGAGAGGGGATGACAGTGAAGTAAAAAGATCCAATTCAAAAGCTTCATCAAGTTTGATCTAATTTTTTTTTTTTTTTAGGCGTGTGGCTGGTCTGCCACATGCAAAAAGATCCAATTCATAAGCTTCATCAAGTTTGATCTAATTTTAATGTTTTTTTTTAGGCATGTGGCTGGTCTGCCTGTGTACTTTTATGTGTTTTATGGGTGGCCCATGCTCTGCGATTGTTCACAGGATGGCAGGCGACTTAAACTTTGTAATGAGTACCCCTTTTACAAAGGAGTATATTTCAAAATGAAAAAATTAATCTCAGAAAGAAAGAAACTTTAAAAAAGCACTCTGATGAAACCGCCCTATAATTTGAAAACCCGAAAAATTCAGTTATTTCATTATAATTATATGAATTTTTAGTGATTAATAACGCCTTTTCAATAATAATTTTAGTTGAAAGTCAATTCTAGGGCGAGCAATTACGATTTGAAAACCGTTCCGCCATTAATTTTCGTAATCACGGCCAACTTATCTTCGGTCAGCGGTCACTCCCATTGTGTCGTAGATTACTCAACACACTTTTATACTCTTATATTTATACGGAAACCTCGTGAAATTTAGTGAAATAGTCTTAGTCTTAGTGTTATAAAAAGCAATATATACGATAAACCTACTGGTTTTGAAAATTTGCCACGATCACGGCGCGTCAAATGAGTAATCTACGTCACGGTCCCTCCCATTGTGACGTAGATTACTCAACACACTTTTATATTTATACAAAAACCTCGTGAAATTTACTGAAATAGTCTTAGTTTTAGTGTTATAAAAAGTAATTTAGACGATCAAAATACTGTTTTTGAAAATTAGCCACGGGCATGGCGCGTCAAATGAGTAATCTCCAAACTCGTTCAGTAATTACTGTGTCGATAGAATCGCCAATGCAATATAGGGTGGTATTATTAGCATACATGTAGGTTGTCGCAGTAGTTGTAGCTTCAGGTAAATCACTTGTGTAAAAAGAAAATAAAGTCGAGCCTAGAACGGAACCCTGCGGTATTCCAGCTTTAACAGTGTTAAGATCTGACGCTATACCATTTAAAACAGTACATTGTTTTCTATTGTCAAGGTAACTGCGCAGCCAGTCGAGTAGCACTCCATTAATTCCAAAATTACTTTCTAATTTACGTAATAGCACATTATGGGAGACACAGTCGAACGCTTTCTGGAAATCTACCAGCACTATCGCTATTGGCCCGTCTTCATACCAGTATGATTTCCATCTTAATGATTCTAATGTCCATACAAAGGATACACTCAAAATCCTAGGGGTGGTCCTAGATAGCAAATTAACATTTAAAGCGCACATAAAGCAACAGCTGAATAAGGGATGCGCAAAGGCTTCGGCTTTGCGGAGAATACGTAAGTTTATTTCTAAGGACGTGTTAGTTCGTTTATACAAGGCCTATGTTCTCCCTCATCTTGAGTACTGTAGTCCCCTTTTACTGGGAGTAGGTAACGCGGAGACGACTAAAATAGAGACAACTAATTTCTTTATATTAAGAACTATATTAGGCTTCTCGAAGTCTGTGTCATACGACTTCCTCCTCAAGTTGGCCGGCATTAAGTCCTTGGAGAATCGTAGGCAGATCCTTTGTCCGGTTTGCCTCTTTGAATAATTTAAATCTGCGATTCATTTTGTGCCTAATTGTGTTCTTAATCCACGAAGCGGACACACTTCTCACTTTCACATCCTTAAACGGGGTGTGAGCATTACATATATCTTTAAACAATTGTTCCCATCCCCAGAGCACGTCGTCTTTGTGATGGAAAATTTCCAAGATATGAAAAGGAATCTTTTCAATATCAGCCTTAAAATTCGTTGCATTAAAATTTTTAAAATTTCTGGTGCGATTAATCTTCGGCGGTGGTCTTTTGCTGCCCAATTTAAGCGTAGCATACACGAGGCAATGGTCGGATATTCCAAGTGGCATTACTCCTGTACATCGCACAACATCCACCTTGGTGGTAACAATAAGGTCAATCAGTGAATTGTGGAATAAGTTATGCGAGTTGGTTCAACAATAACATTTTGCATTTTAAAATCTTCGAAGAGCCTCAGCAAATTCTTCGTTTTAGATGTAATTAAGGTGGAGCCAGGATTGTTTTGGGCTTCCAACATGCAGCAGTTTAAGTCACCAAGGACGAAAATATTGTCTGTTTTCAACCAGGCTTTCTCAAGGACGCCGTAATAGTTTTCAAAAAAGTTCTGAGTTGTGAGTTCAGATCGGTAAACAACTGAGAATAAAGTAGTGTGGGCTGGGAATTTCACCTGTATCCATATGGTCTCAATATCTCTGATTAATAAATCTTTACGGTGTACAGCCGTTAGATGTTCAGCATAGTACAGGGCAACACCTCCTCCTTTGCATTTAGTTCTGTCACGTCGGATAAGTTGGAGACCATCTATTTGCAAGAAGTTATCAGGAACAGAAGAGTCGAGATGGGTCTCAGAAATTCCCAAAATGTCAAATCCACATATTCTCTGTAGGAGTCTTAATTCATCAATGTTATTTGGAAGGCTACAAATGTTCAAGTGTGCAACTCTTAGATCTTTGGATGAATAGTTCAAGATCCTTGAGAGGTTCTCAAGGTAATCTTCAGAATCTGATGTCTGTTGAGAAGCCGGTTCAGTACAAAAGTCATGACCATGAGAAGTGAAGGAGCCATCGCTGGAGTCTAAATAGGCCATTTTACAGTTGTGTGCTTAATTGCCAAGCCTTTGATTCAGAGTGAGGCTAAAGATGACCTTGTTGTGATAGAGACCTTTATCTAGTTAGCATGATAACAAAGTGATTTACATTTGAAAGG